TTTAGAGTTCCAGCCATGTATGTTGCCATTCAAGCTGTCTTGTCCTTGTATGCTTCTGGTAGAACCACTGGTATTGTTTTGGATTCAGGTGATGGTGTTTCTCATACTGTTCCAATTTATGAAGGTTATGCTTTACCACATGCCATTTTAAGATTGGATTTGGCTGGTCGTGATTTGACTGACTACTTGATGAAGATCTTGATGGAACGTGGATACAGTTTCAACACCAGTGCTGAACGTGAAATTGTAAGAGATATTAAGGAAAAGCTTTGTTATGTTGCCTTTGACTTTGAAACTGAAATGAAGAAAGCATCTGATAGTTCATCCATTGATACTTCATATGAATTACCAGATGGTAATATTATCACAGTTGGCAATGAACGATTCAGATGTCCAGAAGTGTTGTTCCAACCAAATTTCATTGGTATGGAAGCTGCTGGTGTTCATGAAACAACTTTCAATTCTATTGGAAAGTGTGATATTGACATTAGAAAGGATTTATATGCCAATGTTGTACTTTCAGGTGGTACAACCATGTTTGAAGGAATTGCTGAGAGAATGAACAAGGAATTGACAGCTATGGCTCCAGCCTCAATGAAGATTAAGGTTGTTGCTCCACCAGAAAGAAAGTATTCAGTTTGGATTGGTGGTAGTATTCTTTCTTCATTATCAACCTTTCAATCTATGTGGATCACAGCAGAGGAGTATGAAGATGCTGGATGTGCCATCGTTCATAGAAAGTGTTTCTAAACCAAGTTTACCCATGTCTATCATAAATATTGTAAATAATCAAAATAAATTATCCTTATTATTCCTTAGTGAAAGACTGTCCAAATTAACATTTAACAATCAATTTGAGTACATCAAAGCAAAAAAGACTACAGCACCACAGGTTCCCAAGTTGTCTCCAACCTCAGTACTGATGTGGCTCGACGATGCTTAACTTCTCAAATCGGACGGGATGAGGTGCATTCATCGTGATATGGCCGTAGCCATTCAATTATTGAAAATTTGAAAAATAAATCAAATTCAAACATTTTCTTGAAATTCGATAGAGGTTTGTTGTTGTTGGAAAGCTCGTTGAATATCTTGACCAACTTTTGAATTAAAACAACAAGATGAACGGTAGTGTTAGATAACATTCTGGAGATGTATTTATTGTTGTCTTGATGAAGATTGGCCAAGTAAATGATGCATCATTAATGTTAGGAAGCATGTAAAAATTCAACTCGACAATCACTACAAATCACTTGAAAAACATTGTCAAAACACCCTTCTTGATGTGGTACAATAACAAATCTTTGTCCTCCCCTTGAAATTGAGCAAATCTGTTCAAAGGTGTTTTTTGTTTGGTTAAATTAATTTTACTTTCATCTTTCTCCAGCTCTTTGAATGTACGAATGAAAGTTTTCAAACTTTCT